AAACAGCCTATGGGCCCGGGGATGAGAAGACCCCCTCCCAAAAGAACTAATGCATTGTCGCTTTCCAATATGGAGAATCGAAGATAAGCTGGAATTACAAAAGAAAAAAAATCCTTGTGTTTAAGGTAACAAAGAGATGTCATAAGTTGTACGCCATCTGTAAACATATCTATACTAGAGGAGATTCTTTAAAAAAACTCTACCATTCCGTTCTCTCCTTAAATTCCACAAAAAAGCTCTAATAGCACACCCCCATAACGTCTTAGCTTTGCCATTTAAAAGCCACCCATACAACACTTCACTGAGCCAACCATCAATCGACTTGTGCAAACAACATTTAAAGCCATTTAAAGTCGAACATGTTAGACAGAGACTCCCAAACAGTAGCGGTGAATTTACAATGCAGAAATAAATGATCCAGAGTTTCTTCATGCTAAAGGCAAAGACAACAAACCCATGGGGAAAGAGACCACCCACTAAACTTGTTTTGTAACCTTTTGTGTCTATGAGTTTCGAGACAACAAAATGTTGTAAGCTCAAATGGTTATCCAATGAGATTAGATGAGGTACGCAAAAGCTTTGGACCCTCGTGGATGACAAAAAAAAATCTTAGCAAATTCAATGGCAAACACTAATAAATGGAGACAACAAAATTGACTTCACAAAAACAATGAAACAATAAACCTTATGAACGAGGTGTACAATAAGTAATACCATATGATATAATTCTCCACAGTCCAACCAGATGTCGAATAATTTTCCAAAAGTGAATAACACAAGCACATAGCTTACTTTGTGACAAAGTCGCTCACGTCTTGAAGACTCCTTAGATCAGGAACTTGATGATTCTGAACAAACTTTCTAAGTCTTCGGGTTACACCAACAGGTTGTAATCTAATTGAATAATGTCGGAAATCAATGAGCTTGGTGTCTTTGTTATAATTAAGCAACACAATTCTCTGGCATGATGAAAGTTTAACCTGAATACATAGAAATTAAACTGATGTCAAGAGGGAAAGGAAGTCTAGGAACTTTTAATTGAGTTAAAGACAGAACCCACTGTATTTATATCAATAGCTGGAAAGATGTTCTGGAACATTATAGTAGTGAGCTTCAGATGCTGATCTCCACTCCCAAAACCAGAAAGAACAATCTGCAACAACAATAGCTTGATTATTCACATAGTTAATTACGAATAATCAAATATTGCCCCATGTTTTCTTCAAAATTTTCCCTTTCGCTTTAGTGTTTTGGGAAACATAGTACATTGAGATTGCTTAGGAGACGACACAAAACAAAGAGCTAATCATTATTGTCGATCTTTTCCCTAGGGAATATCTCATCAACCAACACACTGTAAAACCTAGAACCTCAAACAGAGAAATCTGCTTTACCTTTAGAGAACTGAGAACATGAAGCACTATTTGGAATTTTACCATAAAGGTACTGAGACTAATAATACCAAGAGTGTCGTGTACATACAAGGGCAAGAAAGACAATTACCAAAGGCGGATTCTTGAAAAGGTCTTTTGGACATCTTGGGCGCAATTGCGATTGAGCAATGTCCACTGCAAGCGAATACTCAAGTATTTTAAAGGTAAGAGTTGGCCCCTGAGGAGTCCTAGCAACTCGCAAATATGGTGCACTCTCAGTTTTGGAGAGTATGAGAAAGTGTGTAACACCCATAGGCCCAGCAACATTCAAATAGTCTTTAAGATTATTCCGTCTTTTCTCCTGCAAAAGCAATACATACAAATAAGAAAAATGACAGAAAATAAAAGTAGATCAAATACCTACCATATGATTAATGCCCGAGCATCTACTTATCCTTTCCAGTATGACAGTTTGTCCTAAGCGTTTAAGAAATTTTGTTTCAATCATGGATTTAGTCTAAGAAGCATAGATATAACACGGCAAGGACACATTTATTAAATATTCGTTTTTGAAAAAATATATATATCATGATTATACAATAAAGTAATTTTAAAAAGTCAATAAGTTCATGCATTTTATACTACAAAAAATGAATTTGATGTAATTTGCTTTAAAAATTTATCAACTTTTGTCATGTATTACTACATACGTCTACTTATTATGCTTAGTAAAAATGTTCAATATGTGACTAACAGGTTTTGCATTCATATTCAATTTGTATAACTAAGGTCTAATGCACATTTATTGAATGTCTGCGTGCTTATTAGTAATGAGTGATAGAATCACCTGAAACCTCTCTTTAGAGATATAATACATTACAAAAGCACTACTTTCCCCATCAAAATGGTATGATGAAAAGAGTCGTATAACTTAACTAGTTAAGACAGTAGTAGCATTTCCTAATCAACCCTTGTTTGAACTTGGAAAAAATTCTAACTAATTAAAGAAATTTTCAGTCACTAATAAGAAGAAATAACAACAAAAGTTGACCTTCAGATTGAGAGCAGTGTAGGGAAGCATCAACTTTCTCAAATCCATTTGCAGTTGCTTAAGCGGACCAGGCAGCTTCCCTCTGGAAAAAACAAAGCTCTTCGGGATTTTCTCCCCAGTAACATGATCTACATTAGATTGTTTCTTCACTGTAATCGGCTTCACAAACCTTTTCTTCGTCTGTCTCAATCAAACAACAACAAGAAAAATTAAACTAAAAGAACAAAATAAACCAAGATGATCACTCAGTCTAGCTTGAAAACTTCACCCACGACCAAAAAAAAAAAAAGTGGCTACAAGACAACAGAAATTGCAAAATACTGTGGGGGGTGTTCTTACGTTTCCAATACGAGCCATCGGTTGCAAGAAGAATTGTGAAAGCGGAAGTTTCAGAAGCTTGCTGGTGAAGAACTCCCGCGACCTCCAAAATCAAATACGAGTATTGGGTAACCCTAAAGTACAAAATTGAATGCGAGTGGAAATCGGGTCGATCCCAGAACCGAATAGTGGAGGCGGACCGAACCGGTTTGGACTAAATCGGGCCTGGGAGCGGCGGCGACGGCGGCGACGAGAAGAGAGATGGAAGACGGGCGGAGTTTGTATAAGTCCAGAGGCAGAATGGTGAGGGTTTAGGGTTTTATGAAAACTAAACTTTGTCCCATATATAAATAAATATATATAAACTATATATACTTTATAATAAGTGAGAACGAGAGATTCGAACTCATGATCAATTAATGCGGAGCTAAATTTAGATTGGCAATTTTATCCAATATATTTTAACTTAAAATCTAATTTTTGAAGTATGGATGGTAGGTCATAGAAATGATGAACTTTAAAATTATCTAATACATCCCTAGTTTTATTAAATAATTTTTAAAATGAGTCGAATCTAATAGATACAAAATTGAAACGTTAAATCCTATTAAACAAAATTGAATTTTTTTCATTTAATAAATCCACAAATTTTTTAAAATAACAAAAATCTATTAGATACAAACTTGGAAGTGAACCGATGGTTCAGGAATGGGTTAGAATAGAATATTTTTTAAAGTATTCTTAATATTAAAGTTTAAAAATATATTAAATACATTTTTGAAAGTTTGATTCAACTTATAATTTAAATAATAATGTCGCGTTTAGTTTGGATTGATATACTATGCTCGATTCATCGATTTAGATAACATATATTAAAAATACTTCCAAAAGAAACTGCGGGTTAAACAATAAAAGTGTGTTCCTTCCCACTGAATACAGCCCCATATTTCATATCAAAATTAGATGTAAAAATGAGATGCAGAGGAAAATAAGTTTATTATTCTAAAGTACATTTTTCAAAACAAACACAGAAAACACTACTACAGTCTTTAGTGTTCTTGATAAAATTCATAGCTATAAGAGTTTTCCTCGAAAAATTTCATTCACTGACATAATTTTAAGCTAAATTTTGAAATTTGAGTCCAACTTTCCCTTCTCATCAATTGGCTAAAAGGGTAAGAAGTTGAGGCTTTCTATAGCCCCAACAAGAACCATAGACCAACCACAAAGAAATATAGATATGCAATGAACCAACCAACAAGAGGAAACAGAAAAAGGTTTCAAATTCTTCAAAGGGAATGATCAAAATGCTGATCAGTCAAGCAAATAACTGAAATTTAAAGCAATTATTGCAGAGAAATCCACCATCTTATCCAGATTTGCGCAGAAGCTCTTCTGAAGGCACTTCAAGCGTTGCACCAGCATGATCTTTACTCGGCTTCATTTCTGCAGCAAACCCATAAATCATATTCGGATTCCATAGACTTCGTTTATAAAGAAGAACAAACACATTTACATGTCAGTTAGAAGCTTAAAAGGTATTCCATTCACAAGTTAGAATGGCATAATTCAAAGTCTAGATATCAAACCTATGTTTGATATGAGTTTATCTATCCCAACTTATGAGTTTGTTAATAAGATGCCATCCAAATTATTTGAATTGGTTAAAGAAATTGATAACCTCTTTTAAAAGTCAATAGTTCCAACCTCCCACTCATCAGACAAAACACACTATCCATTACAGAAATTTAAGTCTCTATAACTTATTCATTCTTATCAGACAAAACACAGATTACACAATCTCCAATGCCAAACCTACTAAAATTATGAACAGAACATCCCCAGAAGACTCCACAGTAGTTTCCAGAGTATTTTCTACTGGCCCACTTGATTAAAGTAAATAAAAAGAGGAAGAAATCGGGTGAAGCATTTTATCAAACAGGTGGGCTGCAAGGCTACCATTTCAAATTCACGATGCGTTAGCCAAGTGTTGATTAGTTGTAGGGTCTATCGAAAATGAATTAAAACGTGAAAAATAGAACGGGGCAAAATACCATAACCGCCACGAGAAGTGAGCTTGGCCTGAACGATCATATTGGAGATGAAATGGGAGGCCTCCCGAGCTTCTTCGAGCAGTTTGCGAATCTCGGCCTCGGAGGTCACGTGGCGGCTCTCTTCGAATTTCCGGCGGACCTCGGCGGCGGACTCCGTCAGCATCAAAGTGTCGCCGGCGAAGGACTTGTGGGTTGCCCTGAGCAATGCTCTGTACGCGCTTAGAACTTCTCCTCTCATGATCTCCGATCTCCCCCCGTCTTGGAAACTAGTTTCGGTGCTTCCTCCGCAACAAAGAAGCGCCCAAATGGCGACGACGTCGTTTCGAGTCAAATACCACTTTTTAAATTCACTTACGGACAAATTGCACAAACCACCTTTTGAACTAAGTTAGTTGTAACAATTTCACCCATAAACTTTTATCGTTAAAAATCAAACCCTTAAGCTATTATAAATGAAAAAATTTGACCCCTAAACTTTTAACGGTAAAAATTAAACCCTTAAACTTACCAATGGTACCAATAAATTTCAAATTCTAAAAAGCACACTCTCAAAATACCTTCCATTAAACCCAGCAAACAAGATCTGGAAGAAGATGAAGGAAAATTAATACATTTTGTCTGAGAAATAAACAAATAAGAAGCTAAAAGCAACAATTCACATTGAACTGCTTCAACGAGTGGTCAAATTGGGAAATTTTCGTTCCAACCCATATGTCTCCGTCGTCTTCCCCAATCGCCAGGGTGTGGGCAACCTTATTTTACTCATTTTGATAAGGAAAATTAATTAATTACTCTAATAGTCTAATCGATGTTTGTTCGATTTATAATGTTGATTCCGACTGGTGAGGCGCACCGCCAATGGCCAAGCATGCTGCAGAGAATCTACAATCGGCAAACTTTGGAGCTGAACGGCGGCAAGGGCGAGATACCGCCATGGGACCTCTACAACTCTTAAACCTCCCACTGTAAAAATCTTCCTTTTAAGGTAGAAGAGAAGCCTCCCGACGGAGGTTGTTTAATTTGAAGGTGAATTTTAAAATAGATTCAATATTCTTTTTAACTTGAGAGTTCAATTTTTACCCATTAAAAGTTGAGGGATCAATCTTTTCATTTTATAAATTTTAAGGGTTTAATTTTAACTATTAAAGGTTTATGGGTAAAATTTTTTCATTTTTAAAAGTTTGGGGTTTAATTTTTAACAACTATCATAGTTGAAGGACGGTTTTTACAATTTACCCTTTATTTATTTATGATATTTGTAAGTGTCTGGACTCATAAATAGGAATCAAAATTTTTATTATGGTATTTAATCAATTGTAGGAATGAAATTTATATAGAACTCCCCTCAAACTTTATAATCACTTAACTCACTTCAATAATTTCTTCTATAATAATTATTTTATAATTTTTACAAACAATAATTTTTTAATTAATTGTTTTACACTTTTTATCCTTTCTTTCTTATGTGTACTCCTAATCATTTTTCTTCTAAATAAATTAATACAATTTTTATTAATTGATGAGATTTTTCTAAAATATATTATAAATTTATATTTCTCTCCTTTCCTCCGTGGAAAGAAAACGAAGAATCCTTGTTTTTCTCTACAAAATTCGCGATCTCCTTGAATTTCGAAACCATGTTGTATTCGAAATGGTACTATCTCTGCCATCGACAACATCAAATCTTGATAGTTATTGTGACGATTCGATTTAATTTGAGGTGGTTCAGAGTGTGGACCACTGCTTGGTGTGCAATCGACGACGGGTATGGCAATCGGATCACCGTTGTACTTGCATCGAATAGTAGTGGTTCGTGAATAGCAGCATTCGATAGTTGGAGAAGGAGAAAATCGATGAATATATGCAACCTAATATTTTAATACATACTAATATAAAAGTATGTATTATATAACTTACTAAACGAATATATGTTTATCAAGACTTAATTAAAATGCATATATTATATAATTGTGGTTAGAAAAAATTAATGGATCATCAAAAAAGTGAACTAAGCCACCGAAAAAATTAATGGGTCGCCGGAAAAAGGAGCGGTGGAAATAGTGAAATAGAGTTTCCATTGATATGAACGGCCACCGAAATATTTTCGTAATACAAAAATAGTGAATGATGGAAAGTTGAAATCTTCCCCAAATATTTTCATAATTAGCTGAATTATTTGCATGGATTAGTTTCTATATTTGTTGCGTTATTGATTAAAATATAATAATTTAATCATAAATGTAAATATTTGCATTAATGAACCAAATATAATAATTTAATCATAAATGTAAATAGTTGCATTAATGACCCTCAATCCTCTATAGGCAAAGAAAAGGATACTATTTAATGAAACTCATTTGAGAAAAGCTAAATTCAAACCTGAAAAGTCTAGATTTGTAAATATCTAAAGCATTGGACATTTGTGAAAATATCAATTTTCATATGATCTGCTAAGTAGAATTTCTAATTTGAAAGAGTAGTTGTATTTTTTAAAAAAATTTTGTTAGCTTAACCATTGCATGTGACTTGTTAAATTTAACCACAAGGATCAAAATAGAATTAACAGTCAAAATTACATATTTTACTAAGTTCATTTACGATTTATGAAAATGCACCCGTCGGCGTGCGTCCGCGAAGGCAGTGTTTTCGAGTTCATACAGCGATCAACAAAATATGGAACACAAGAGCTTGATGCTGCAAACTGCAATTTAATTCAAGTACATTCACAATTTTAGAGCCTTTGCAGTTGAAAATTCCAGGTCTGAGAGGCATACCAGCAGGTGAGGACCATCGGCATCAGGCGCTTTCATAGACACAGTATTCATCACCTGGTTTCGATTTTTGCTTCACCTCAGTGCATCAACCATTCTACATTCGTGCTTCTTACGACGACATCTGTGGTGCGATTTCTGATCTGCAAACGTGTTTTCTCCAACAATTTCCATTCTAGAATCTGCAAGGATGCAACCATCTGTGACTTAGATTAAGAACCACAAACAGGGAACTATATGTGCATACCAAAACTACAGAATCAAACGTTTAATTCTCCCATCGAAACCAAAATCTCTATTTGGTCAACGCCACGGGTCGTGTGTTTGGGAGAAGGAGGGCAGGATATGCAGATTACAACAAGAGACAATCAACTAAAACAAATTAAGTAGAACAGTAGAAGCCAGTTCTTAAATTAACTCAGATGTTCTACCAACAACCAAGAGGCAGTTAATGACGGGACATATGCATTTGCTATGTTCAATCAATGGATTCTAGTCTTGGACATGTATTGCAGCTCCTGAAGAGTGTCAAAATTGAAAGTGAAGTAAAAAAATAACAATGAAACAAAAACTGCGATAGTCCCAAACGGCAACGGGTATTAAAAATCAATTGCGAATGCAACATAAATACTACATTCAGAAGTAATCTTATCTCTAACACCTTAATTCTACTGTGGAGATGGTTACAAAATAGTTTTTTTTTTTTTTTTCTCCTGAGATTCTTTGATCTTAACAACAAAGGACAAAGCCCGATTTTTCGGTCACAATTTGACGTCATGCTATCTTAAACCAAGCCTCCTCATGCACATCACAGACACCATCTTTGCAAAGTAATAGTGCTTTGTGAGGAAGGAGTGAAAAGATCAATTTCAAACCGAAATGATGATTGATCCTTTCTAACAAATCCGCCAACAGAACCAGAATAAGAACACATTTTGATGTCATCAGAAATCAAGCATTAGTTCGAATGCAAAGGTGAAGCATGAAGTGGCCTACCGTGGAGCAAGAAAGAGGAATATAGTTTTCAGTCCATAGAATGCTAAATGTCAGATCAGAAGTTCATAGAGCAACTGAATCCAGATGCAGATTCTGCTCTACGAAATAAATGGACTATTACCTTTGACTATATAGTATATGTGGATAACATGACATTTCTATTACCTATCTGACAAAATTTAGATTATTTGGCAAGATGTTGTGGGTAGAATAAAGTAGATAACTAACAGAATAAAGTGGAACATGCAATATGTTTTCTTTTTTGAAACAACTTATCGAGTCCCTTCCATAGACAACTCCCTTCTCCCGTTTGCTCGTCATCTTGTACCAAATCAATCAATGTTACATAATCAACAATGTTAAAAGTAACACATGGGACACAATTAGACCTTTTTAAAATTCTATGGCTAAATAGACACATTTAGAGTCTGCTTGGTACCTCATAATTATGAGTGATTTCAAATGAATTTGTTGTTTGATATCTCAGGATTTTGAATGATTTGAAATCTTACCTGATTATAAAACATTTTCTTCATCAAAATGGTCGGATTTGGTAAGATTTCATAGAATTTCAAAGTAAATTTCTTGTTTTACCTCGTTACATTTTAATTTCTAATTAATAAGTTTAGATTAGAAGCGTAAACTTTTTATTTTCTCTTCCTTTTTTGCAAACATCCAAACAAAAAGAAAAAAATTGATTACATTCTCATTCCAAAATTTGAGTCATTTCTCGGAGTTCAAATCAGATAATTTAAAATCATTTGTTGAGCTTTGTTGTTAGGCTTATCGAAGTATAGGCTTAAGGTGCCATGAACCATGTTCTTCGAGGGACTGTACTTCCCCAGCTGTAAGGTTTGCCAAACAGAGGTTTTCAAACATAAATCAAAGATGCGTTTGAATAACCAGGAAATTGAACCAAAACAATCTATATGAACTCTTAAAATCGAGAAGAAGAAGAAGAAGAAGAAGACGAACCTCCCAGTCGTTCACCCCACAACAACAATCTGGCGTCCTCATCCTCCTCATCGATCTCATCGCCATACCCGAACTCGCCATCTCCACGATACCCAGGTTCACTTCCATACCCAGACTCGTTCCCCTGAGCATCAAAACCCCCATTCGAACCAAAACTATCCTTCTCCTCTCTCTCCCTCCTCGAATTCTTCGCCTCGCTCACATCCGACGACCAGTTCGCATCCCCATTCACGAACAACTCCCCACTCGAATCCGTCCCAACCGCCACAGGGAAATCGGAGCAGGTCCCGTGCGCCGCCGAAGCCCCAACAGAGCAGCACCGTCTCGTCCCACTCCGGTCGCTACTCCGCCCCGAAACCGACCTCGATCCGCGCCGCCGCCGCTTCCCAGCCATCAACCGGAAACTCCTCCGCGTGTAACACCCAGCCGCGATGGACGGCTTGTCATCGTCGATCAAACTCAGCCGCGACATATCAATGGCGTCGACGCTAAAAGAAGTGGCGCGGTCAGAGAGACAAGGGCGCTTGGTGTGCAGGCCAGTGGATGAGTAGTAAGGTTTGGAATTGGTGGGCGCTGAGTTATGGACATCGGAATCTAGGGTTTTGGGCGCGGCGTGGAGCTGGAAGGGGCGCCAACTATGGAGCTTGAGAGTACAGGATTCAATGGATTGGCGCGAATCTAGGGCTCTGCGCGACATGAGGTAGTAACCAAATCGACTGGTTTCTTTCTGGGTATTTTCCCGCAATTCTTCAGAATTTGAATTGGAGCCAGAAACAGAAACCTGCGATTGAATTGCAGCTGCAGAATCGTTTCAATGCCAAAGATGGGAAGGATTTTGAGAGGGAGATGACACTGTTCGTCAAATTCCCGAATCTCGAAGGAAAATTCTTTGAAGGAGGGCTCCTGGTATTTATAGTTAAGTTCGTCCACAATATCAAATTCTAAATGGAAGGGGGAGAATCTAGGCATTTTTGGAAAACATTATTTTATAATTTTATTACATGCCCCTCATTTTTCTCCAACTCAATTATTGAAAAAAAAAACATCGGTTAACCACATTTGGTCTGTATTCCCGCTGAAGCAACAATTTAATCTTAAATTAATAATAATTTAGTCCATAAATTATTGTAGTATGTAATAATTTAGTCTTTATAGTTTAAACTTTGTAAAATTTAGTCTCTGCTACCAAAAACCACATCAAAATTAAGTGTTGTTTTTTATCCTACCATAATTTATTTTTTTTTTTATAAAAAAATGATTTTAATCTTTGTGATGTATAAACACATTTGTTTCTTTATTGATTTATCAGTCTACATATATATAAGAAACTTAATAAAAATTTTAATGATAAAAATTTACAAAATCGTTATAAATCTTAAACTACAATGACTAAGTTATTACCTACTAAAATTCAGGGACTAAATAATTATCCGTCTGAAAATATAGAGACTAAATTGTTATAGAATACATTGCAGTTACTAAATCATTATTTCAATAAAAGTACCGGTAATAAACTAACACCACATTCTCTAAAATTTATCATCTCAATATGTTGTACTAAAAAAAATTAAAGAGATATATGAATAGAATAAGTTAAATTTGTACTTGCTAGAGTTTCAAAGTCTTACACTCTTTTTCAAGTTTTGAAAATATTTCATTTTAGTTTTGGTGGTTAATTATTAATAGGGATTAAATTTATATTTTACTAAATGATGATACCGGAATATTTAATAAAATTTACAACCTAAGATACCTTTTAACTGTCTTAGTTTTAATTTATTTATTTTGAATTATTTTAGATTCATTTTCCAATTTGTTAATGGTAATATGAGTATAACTTGAAAGTCATTTGGTTGTACTGAAAAAACATCACAATCTTTTTTATTTTTGTTATTAAAATTTATTTGATTTATTTGTAGATCTATTCCATTTTGTTTGAGAATTTTCGCATCACGAGTCTCACGTTATTTGTTTCTTCATTATTTTTTCTCTCTATTTGTCTCTAATTTTGTCTTTTATTATATATATATTTTGCCATCCTGATTATTTTTCAATTTGTCTGTTTTTCCCTGCATATCGGTAGTCCTTTTTTCTTATTTAATTTTATTGCTGTTGCATTTCTTCACTGTTCATGCTATTTCCTTGTTTTTTAGTGCTTTTTTTTGCATGGTTTCACTTTTTAGTACCATTGAGGCTCCATTTGGTAACTTTCTTAAAAAATCTAAGTAATCTGTAAGTAATTATTTTTCTTGTTTCTCCATTTTTTTGGAACATTCACAAATTATATAGAAATTTTATAAACAAACAAAACAAATTTTTTATTTCTTGTTCTCATTTCCAATTTATTCCAAAGCATAGATACAAACATTATTTTATCATACTTGAATTCATGGATATTGAAACCATGCCTTTCATTTTTTCTATTATACAACTGCATTTTAATGCAATTGAACACCTATGCTAATGTTTTAAATGCCAATGAAAATGTTTTGTTTTTAAAAGCAAATGTTAATGAAAATGTTGGATTTTTTTTTTAAATATGACTAATATTTAAACTTATTTTGAGAATAAAGTTAATTCGAAAAAAAAAAACTTGTATATCATCTCTTGAGCCTATGGCATCCCTAGTATATATTTGTGTTTTAAAAATACTTTTGTAAATATTTGTAATGGTAAATTGAACAAATCACTTATGAAGTTCAATATCTATCGAACTTTTAATGGTAAAAAAATTCAACCCTCAAACTTTTTATAAATTAGAAAATTGCACCCCAAAAGTTTTCAATTGTAAAAATGATACTGCTGAATGGTACCACGACGATTAAAGGCGATGCATTTCATCACTCCATGTTTCAGAAACTCCCCAACTTTTGGAAAGTCTCCCCCCAGAGGATCTTGGAAAATAAGAGAAGATAAAGAACAAACACATTCTCCAGTGGGAATCTTAGTATGAAATAGAAACAGCAAGGAAAAGACTAGAGCCAGAAAGGGGGGAGAAAAAATGGGAAAAAAAATGTAGAGAGAGGTCAAATAAAATTTGAAGGTTTAATTTTTTTAATTTCAATTTTTTAACTTATAAAAGTCTGAGGATTTAATTTTTACAGTTAAAAATCTTAAAGTACAATTGTAACAACTATTATAATTAGTGTAACTTTTACATGAAAGTGCTTGTAAAAAAAATTTACCAGCGCTCCAAATAAATTTAACCCAACTACTTCACCACAAAGCAATTCAGGTGTAAAACCAAACATTTAACCCAACTACTTCACCACAAAGCAATTCAGGTGTAAAACCAAACATCATCAGTCATTTGTGATTGAAAGACTTTTGGCTAAAAATACTTACTCTAGAAGCACTTAAGTCACTTCTAATATTTATGCAACCAAACATTCATGAAGCTTTTTACCCCAAAAAAAAAAAAAATTACTTTTGACCATACCAAATTTAAACACGTAAAAAGCATACTTTTCTTCTCAATATACCTTGACATGTAATAAATATAATACTTTCTTTTCTCCATCCCAACTCCCAAAACTATTCACATTCCATACTTTATCATAAGGCGTTCTATTTTCAACAAAGTTCTATGTAAAATAAGTCATCTACTTCTCTTGGTCTTTTATAATTCAAGTGGCCTTCTTCATGCAGGTAAAGGCAGAACTATAACAAAAATAAATTTCCTAAGTCAGCAATGAGACGGTGCAGACCAGGGAGATCATCTAAGTACCTTTCTCGATATCGCATAGGCTTTGACGGAGTGTTGCTCGATAAGTACCAAACTGGACGCTACTAGGCGGTCGTAAGTTGAAAACGTAGGAAATCGGCCTCGACGCCAACATTGGCTTTTTAGTTGTTACTTTGTCGGGCAACTCCCCAAAGCTTGCTTCGTCGTATGGAAATGACTCTGTAAGCAAGAAAAAGCTATATCTACCCAACTTCTCAACCTGTAACAATGCCAATAAAGTACTCCCAAAATCACCCTATAGAATATTCAGATAATTAAATTACAAATTTAGTACCTAAATATATAGGACTATGTCTAATAAGTCCATGATCTTAAAAACTATCGAATAGGTCCATAAGCTTCCTATTCTGTATCTAATAAGTCTTAAAAAAAAATTGTATCTCATACCTCCTGAATTTTATGTCTATTTTATGTCTAATAGACCCCTGACCATTTTAAATATTTATGGACTTGTTAGATACAATATTGAATTTTGTATCTAATAACACCTTGATCATTTAATAAGGCTACAACGATCAAGGCTGCAATCTTTTTGAAAAAAATTGTCTAATGAATCAACGATGCTATTAGACACGAAATTGAATGTTTTGGAACCCATAAAACACTTCTAAATTTCTTGTGAATTTTTAGGAGCTTATGCTAAACTTGTAAATTAACCTAAAATGTCAAAGTTGTGAACTTTTAAGAAATGACCCTAAAAGTTTAGGAACTAAACCGGTAAATATCATCTAGATTTCGATCATGAAAATATCAACTAAACACACATTCTTTCTTTAATCTGAAAGACTCAACAATTACCTGCAGTTGTGAAAATCTGATGTTATTCATGGTGAGAACGACTGAAACCCCATGAAGTGAATCGGCCAACATTCGGATGGCCAGAAGATCAAAAAACTTCTGCAACAGAATCTTCTCTATGTCGAGATTTTCCTTCGAACTCGCAAAACGTGGAAACCACATTATACATTTGACCTCATACCAGGGAATTAGATTTTTCCCTGCTTTGGAAATGATGGTTTCATATGGGTCGGAAAGGTCCCAGAACTTTCTTGCGTCATTTAACGATGCATCATAGGTAGATGAATGTGGAAGGCTAGTTGTGCAAATGATTTTGGATGGATCACAGTGGCGAGCCAAGTTTGATGAGAACTGAAACCCGCTGTCATCCATTACAAGAATGCATCCTTCTGATTTAGGAAAATATTTTTCAAACGTTGAAGCATGAGCAGCTTCATCTTCTGGCAAGCATAAAGTTGATTTCAATGAAAAAGAGTCTGATGGACTCTGATCATGAGAAAAGTAACAAGAGCTCCCATTTCGACAACCCTGACATAGAGAAAGGTCGTATTATTAGCTTTATATGGGATTAGGAAACAAAAGAAACGACATAATTTAATAATAGAGAAAGGTCATGTAACCCTAGACCATACAAACCTAGACTTCTTAAAACCGCAAGCAAAAGAACACCTAAAGTTTCCAAACTCATGCAAGGTCCAGCAGTCTCATGAAATGTGCTTTATTCAAGAAATTTAAGAAATGTATGAGTCGAGATATTTTCTTATTCTTCTCTAAACAGTATTCCCATATTAGCTAATAATTTAGTTTTCTCCTTGCTTCGGAAGGTTCGGATTTTCAAGGATAGATTTTTTGTCCAGCAGATTGCCCATGGAAGGATTAACATCATGGATCGTATTCAAATATTGTCTTCAGCTCTACTGGGCCTGCAGTGGTGTAGATGTAAGAAGGCCTCGAGAAGTCGAGATTATGTCTAGTGGCATTGTCAGTTTGCTTCAACGATCTGAGCTTTTTGGGGTCTTTTGGTGTTCAATTGGCTCGCATCCGTTCTTGCAAGTCAGGAAACCTTATTCTATCCCTTTTGTGATAGAGGGATGTTTCTCTAGCAGGCAACTTAAATTGCTGACTTTATGAAACATATCGCTTGAGAGAAATAGGAGGATCCTTAGTGACAAGAAAGTTCTTGAGAGGGTGTTTTGAGTCTTGGCTAACTTCAGCGCATCCTTTAGGCTTCCATTACTAAAGAATTTATCGATTATCCTTTATCTCTCATTCCTTTTAATTGGAGTCCATTTTTATAATTTCATTTTTTAAGCCTGCTAGTTTTTTAGCTCCTTTTGGTCTGGGCTTTCTTTATATTGCCCTCTAGTATTCTTTTCTTTCATTTGTTCTTAATGAAAGTGGTACTTTTCATTAAATTAAAAAAAGAAAAGGAAATAACCAAATAGATACCTGGAGAGAGAAGAAAAATTTGCAAGTAGCTCTCTGTGCTTGAAGTGAATGAGAAAACACGCACTGATTCCCTCGGTTGCAGGATCCATTGACAAAGAAAACACAAAGAGAGGTCCCATTATGGTCATCAAAACCACCGTTCATAGAATTTAAGGGCTGATTGTTTGGTTCTTTTGCATACATAACTTTCATCTGTTCAAAATGAAAAGTTAGTAAATGTCCATATTTCGTAGAAGGGACAAAAAGATAAGACTACCTGTTTGATCACATCTGCCAACTTCCCAGCAACTTGATTGGTCTGGGCATAGCTAGTACCAACATATGGTTGAGACACACAGGTTCTTGATTCACTTGATTGGTCATCTCCATTTCCGAGACATTTGAGAATGCATGAATGCTGAAACTGAGTAGGATTGTAGGACGATCTTAGAGTGTCACACATACCTAAAAATTTGGGCCGAAACTGGTGCAACGTATGTACAATATCTTCATCTGAAAAGGCAGACAAAAAAGCTCAGGATAAGCTGAGCTCTAAAGGAATATAAAGATGCAGAGGGAAGCGATAATTGCTAAAAGAAAATAAAGAATAATTGAAGCAAGATGAGAATGAAGTCCATACACATTTCAGCGACGTGATTTAGAGATGAATGCACAAGACTGTGAGAAGAACACCATTCTTCTTCATTCTTGGAAGGTGGTGATGTGCTAGCTTGCATTTTACCAGGCTTTACAAGTTTGCTCAAATATTCAACACGTATCTTATCCTATATGGAAAAAATTATTAGATTACATGGCTAATCATAGGAAACAAATTCATACCTCTTCAAATAAAGACGTAATACCTTATAAACTTTTTCCCAGAAATGAAAAGCATGCAAGTTTCCCATGAATGCCATTTCCTTAAAGCCAAGAGGAATAGTATCAATACTCTCTCCATCGAAGTAGCATTTTATGTGCTCTGCATACTGTATCCAATACCGTCCAAAGTTGATTAAATCACATGCATATATTAAACGTGGACATCCAAATAACAAGTAATTAAGAAATACCAAATTATTATCTCCGAAAGGACGAAGTACAGGTAAGGGCTGTGTATCCATTAATATGCCTAGCAAAATGCCTTCATGGAGCATTCCGATGTCTCCAAATTTGAGTATTAACACAGAAGAATCAAAAGACAGTGAGAAACTAGCTAGTAGACTTCCATAATATGTAGGTTCATACCGGCCTCTCGGAGATTTTTTTAATGCTTTCATGTGAACAAGCAGATTCAATGCATCTTCAACGACGTAACAATCAGGTGGATCAAGGGTCTTCTGCAGCAAAACTAACCATGTTCCATAAATCAATTGTCCGCCCAGTTAGATTATAGTAATGCCACAATACAAAAAGTCGACACTAACTAAAAAGCACAACACCATGAGATCAATAACAATTATACAAATTTCCACGACTTTTACTGCATGCACATCTCTTACACTTTCAACAAACACATGCTGACTATTATTTTTTGAATAATTAAATTGAGATTGAGTTAACAAAAAACTAAAACCTTTTTTTTTCTTTTAACAAGATCGGACTTCTCATTGATTAATGAAAAAGAACAAAATTGTTCAAATGATATAACCTCCCAAAGGAAAGAAAATAAAAGAAAATAAAAAAAGGGAAAACAAAAACCCAAAGAGAGAAAGACAACCCAAAAGAACATGAACGATAATAGACAAAGACAAAAAAGAACATGAAAGGAGGAGATATTTTTTTGCTTTTTTTATAGTTGTGAGTATCTGGACCAACTTGCACGCACCTCGACTAATCTCACGAAACAATCGTCTGATTCTACTATATTTGGTTGTCAAGGAAACACATAAGAAATCAATTCTTAGATAGGTGGCTATCATGGAGTTCTGAGATATCTTTATAAGTCCATCCAAGAAGCATCCAAAACGCAAAACACATTCATTAAGAGAATCAAAGCATCGAACATTTATGGAGAGCTTTGTGTTTTAGTTTCTTTTTTGGAGGGGGTCTTCTCGTCCCTGGTCCCTTAGGCTGTTTTTGGCTCCTTTGTCTTTCTATGAATAGTTTCTTTATCCAAAAAAAAAAAGCATAGAACATTGAGAACAAGCCTTGTCACTCACAAGGAACCCACTGCAAAAGATTTTAAGAGGCTTGAACATCATAATCATTTCCAAAAAAATCTTCAGGAAACAAGGCTTCAAAATTTTGAGAATATTTGGCCCGAATTTCAGCAATCTCTCCATCTCGTTCAGCTTTTGGCTCCAACTTCCTTATAGAAGGAGCTTCTATACAAATAACTCTTTCTTTGTTAATCCTTTCTAACTCCATGTTTTGAAAAGCTAACCAATCATTGATATTGATAGTAATTGCTCCTGAGGGCTCAATGAGAAGGGAAGGAGAGGAGTTGGATGAATCCTTATTAAGGATTTCAAGGAAGGAGGATTGAGGATCCATTGATCTAGAGTAAAACTTAAATGAACTTAAACAAGAATATCAATCAATTAGAATGCTGAATGTTTGAGGCAGCAGAATGCAAATTTAAGTCTGATGATTGCTGTCAAATTAAAAAACAGCAAAGGATTTCATCCATGGATATGATAGTGTCCTGAGTTTTAATTTCATCTTACACTTACAGAAGTTGTAAAAAATAAAAATATCCATTAGTTGAGAAACTTTTTTAATCTACTTGTGGCTAAGCAACACTAATTTATCAGTGCCAGTTTTTGTGGCTAAATTGGCCTTTTTTTTGGCGGTATTTGAATGTGTTGGCGCTGTATTTGGGTTTTTTTTTTTATTTGGGTTACTTGATTTTATGGCTGAATTAGGCTGTTTTGTGGTTGGAATTTAGGTATTTTATTATCTCTAGCTCTATAGATGATTTACTGGTTGGGTCTTTTAATCCAATTTTTAATTTGGTTGTGAGGAGATCAATAAGTTCACAAACTTTGGGAGGTAATTAGAGCTATTAATAGAATAGTAAGGGTATATAAGTAATTAGATAGGGAAGTCTTTAAGGAGAGTTGTTATAAATAGAGTGAAGGAGAAAAGATGGTGAGCAATTGTGTAGTGTGATTTAAGCGTAAGTGATCTCAAGAGGGTGGGTCCAAGTACCTCCAATGACTTGGGAATTATTTTAATCCTTCTATCATTTTATCTTTCATTCTATTTTAGTTATTTGTTCCTATCCATCACTTATCCCATTTTCCAAATTTAATATGAATTTAAATCATTTAAACCTTTTTTATGTTCCCTCCGGTTTTGAGATTGAAAACAAATCTTCCATAAAAAAAGAGGAAGGGAAGATAGCATGCCCTTAAAGTAGATAATAAAACTTAGAAAAAATGCTAGTCAGTTAAACAAACAACTTTCACCAAAGAAAACTACTATACCAATTGGATCATTAATTGCTTTGGATTCAGTCGAGCAAATTAGAAGCACTTGCTGCCTCAATGATAACCTCAGTATAGCTGGTCGTTCGAAATCTTCAAAGTTTTGGTAAAATGATCTTGTTACCAATCGATAAACTTGGCCATCACAAGTTCGACCAGTCCTTCCTCTACGCTGCTCAGCCTGAGAGCATATTGCAGTATAAATATATGAAATTTGGCCAATACTTAAGCTTCCGTTTCTGACCGTACATATATATTTAGACCAAAAAAAAAAACACCCGTGAAGTTAAAGATAGAACAACAAGATTCGAGGCAATTCATGGTGACATATACTATACCTGAGATTTAGAAATCCAGACAACCTGTGCAGAGTCCTTTTTCTGATTATTATCCCAATACACTTGTAAAGCCCTGCATGAATCAATTACATATGCTACTTTTGGTATTGTGACGGATGATTCAGCAATATTTGTTGCTAATATAACCTGCATAAAATATTTTGATGTATCGTGATCAAATAACAGTTAATTATAAGAAAAGGGAGTAAGAAAAAGGTGGTGGCCATGTTGCCATACATAAGTAAAATATTGAAAGCTGACAAAGCTCATCAAGAACCATGCGGACATCAAATTCCACTCCAATTTGGAAGTATCCAATGATCAAATATGGAGAATAAAATGGCAATCATCTCAACAGAAGCACCGTCATAATGTTCACTTGACATCAAAATCAACAAACTATTGATATGCTATCTCCTCTATTTCATGATTAGACATTATATATTGTTTTAGGTATACATACCTTGCGACGTGATTTCCAAATCTTCATAGCCGTCAGGGCTTGTTCAATGTCAATACTGCTATGTAAAATATAAACTTTAAAAGAACTATGTGACTTCAGAAGATCCCATTGTTGCTCCAGGGAATAATATGTCGGAAGAAAAATCAAGATACTCTTTTCAATGTCAGGCTCATTCTTATGAATGTGCAACAACAGATTGTGAATAAGTTTGTGTACTTCGGGCCTAATATCAGCAGCAGATGTAGAAAGGCTTGTACCGTTGCAATATCTAGGAGATTGTAGATCTGACCCAATTCCAAGTAATTCAATAACCTGCCAATGAAAAAATAAATCATAATTAAATAAAAACAACTCAAAGATGATCGCTTATGTTTTATTAGCTCAATTTAATTATAAGATCAATGCTCCTCCTGTACAGCCATTTTTTGCACACACTCCGATCTTATGGATATAATTCTATTTCTAAACTCCATTAATCAAATTAATTCATAGTATATTAATAGGAACAGGCAATTTCTGTCTTTTTTAATTTTTTTTAACAGGAAACAACAGGGACTTTCTGTTTATATACCTTATTTACCTACTTCACACTTTGCTATTCCCAATGTTGGGAACTGCATCTTTGCATATAACATAATCATAAACATATAGTATGAACTACATATTAATTCATTCATGGCAGATTATAAGGAGCAAGAACTTTCTGTCTATATGCTTTATTTACCTACTTTACCCTTCACTGTCGCTGATTTGGGAACAGCATCCTTCGCTAACTTTATCAGAAGGATGAAAAATAGCTCAAAATGATACTCCATAATATGTTTCTTTAATTTCTTGCTTTTCTCCCAAACATCCCCACACCATTACAATAAAGCATCCGTACATAATAACGTTAAATAAATATAAGTTCAAAAAATTCTCAGCAGCAACACAAACAAGAACAATGTTTATTTTATTGAAATAAAATGTTTTGATCCAATGTGCAGTGTCAACAGAAGAGAGGTTGCACGTCTGTGAAGAAATAGCTTGATATATATGACTAAGTTAATAAATCTATGATTCTGAGTTCAAAACACTTCTGAAGTCCTTCTGTTAATTACTTTCTTATTTATCTGAATAACTTTTCAAGTTCATTGCCAAATGCGACAAGTCAAAACAGAATAAACATTTCACTTTCTATGTTAAATCTGCTTCAATTAATCATATATACACACATAAGATGTGTTACATTGCAGTTTGAGCTAGTCCATTATTGGTTAGTGGCAGTAATAATGACATATGTTCTAGGCTTCAAGCCCAATACAATTTTTAGGAAATTGGTTGTGATTGTTTCCGACATAAACTAATATTGTCAATAGTTTATTATGAACCCCATCAAAACAATCCGCACCAAAAGTAATGTGAAAAATATTAACACACTGAACTACCAAACAAGGAGCAAAGATACACAATTATACAATGGTTAGGCAGAGAACCGGTAGAATAAACAAGATTGATTCCAAATAATAACATGAGCTCACCTCTTCAAGATATGAAACTTTTCGTTCAAAAAAAGTTTTCTGGTTTGAGCTAGGAATTGCAAGCACTTCAACACGTTCACCTCTACCAAGATCCTTGAAATAATCCCTATACCTTCCAATATCAGCGGTTGCTGACATCAATACCACCCTAAAAAGACTCAAACAGATCAGCTGCCAGAGCAAGTATGGCCGCCCAAGAATGTCAACTTACAACAAGTTGCATCTTTTGTTGTTTACCCACAAATCAGAAAACAAGGACTACTAAAGCAAAGTGCTGACCTCAGATCATGGTTCTTCGACAGAAACTGCTTCACGCACACAAGAACAAGATCAGACTCCACAGATCTTTCATGCACTTCATCCAGTACAATCACCTTGTAGTTGAGTGCGTTTAATCCCCTGTCTCGCATTTCTTCCAACAAAACACCAGCAGTTTTGAAAACAATCTTCGATCTGGAAGCGTGAAGAATTGGTAAAAAAAAAAATCTAAAAATAGAGTAAGCAAAAATTACTAGTAATGTGAAATTGACGATTCATATATCTTCGTGTACCTTTCCGATGAGTGTTTCGAATGACCAATATGATATCCAACCTCATCTCCCATGTTACAGTTCCGAGCTCTAGCAACCATATTCGCAATGGCAACAACAGCAAAACGCCTAGGCTGAGTACAAATAATGGGTCCCATGTCTTCTTCCAAGAGAAATTGAGGAATCTGAGAGCTCTTCCCTGAAAAAACCAGGCAATAGAACCTAACAAACTGATAGACCATAACCAATGTAATCGAGCAGAAAGAAACTAACAACCATGCAGCTTAAACTAAGAGGCAGCAAGCGGATAACAAGCATCATTTCTTCCCTTAGACCAACAATTTAAAAACACAAACGCAATGATCCTCTATCTTCGATCACTCCCTCATTCTCTTTAAAATTCAAGTAACTAGCACAGTAGCGAAAGTTGCAGCGAGAACGATAACCGTAAGTTCATGCTTCCTCCTTGTTAATGCGCAATCAAAAGCCAACAAACCACCAGGAAAAAACACTAAGAAGAACTAAAACGAAATGAAGGCAACCGTACCACAGCCGGTCTCGCCGACGATAAGCGTGACACGATTCTGGCGAATTTTCTCAACGATTCTCTCTTTAAGCGACATGACCGGAAGAGCCGAGAAATTGAACGGCGGCGACGACGACGACGACGACGGCGACGGAGAAGCCATTGAAGAGAATCCTTCCGTCTGCTCTTCCGTGAGACTGATTCTTCTCTCTGGTCTCCAGAAATTTTCCCGCTTTCTGAGTTTCTTTTTTTGCTTTGCTTTGGTGAGGAGTGATCGTGGAGGTAGATGAACGGGCTTTTATATGTTGACACGAGGTCAGAGTCCGTCTTCGGTAATTTGACCAATTGGCGAAGGGCACGATTGGAATTAGGAAAATTTGAAGGGTGGAAAATGCTCTAGAATTTTGCTTTATGGTGTACGGTAAACTTCATCCCCAAGGTTTTCGCTGAGCACGTGGGCCCGTCTTCAATTTTGCCTTTTTGGAGTTTTGCCACTTTTTTAAAAAAATTTAAAATAATAATAATAACTTAACAAAGACATACTTATTTAACCGATATAAAGCAAAGTTAAATTCAACGACAGTTGACACATGTTTAGATGGGAGGTTCGAATTTCTTATCTCAAATAAATATTTATTTAAATCGTTAATGAGAGATTTTGTCTGTACGAGTACACCTACAACCAAGTTTCAATTTTAGTGTCTTTATATTGTTGTACTATTATAAATATTAAATTAGAAAGGTTGAGCATCTTATTAAAGATTGCATTGTTAAAAATATGATGTTGTGGTAGGTGAAATTATAATGAATACAGTCGAGAGTGATAAAGAAATAATTAGCTACTAAAAGACCAAGCTAAATATATGGTTGCAAAGAAATGTGTCTTGTTGATTATAACTTTTAGTAGCGTAAATCAAACTTGGGCCATTACTTTCACGTGTAGTGTATTTTGATTGAATAGGATGGTTTATATAGTTTGTGCTTTGTTTTTTAATTGGTTATAATGGTGGGCGAAGTAAGAAGTAAGGAGTGTCTTGGATGTATTAAGAGAGTTTTGGATGATTGGCTGGGAAATTGGGTTGAATATCATTTCTTTGCGAGGGAGGATCGATTTTTACCTACCTTTTTCAAAATCTTTGTTTTTTTATTTTTTCTTAATCTCTATGATTCTGATGACCTTTAGCAATTGCTGGCGACGGGTGCATCAAAACGTCGAAGAATGAGGCTGGCCTACGATGTAAATGGAGAAGTAGATAGAGAGAGAGTTGAACAAAAGAGTTGAGAGATTTTTAATGAGATTGTTCTTCCATAGTATCTAAAAATAGATAAATATTATTTTTCTTTTTTTATTCGATAGTATCTAAAAATTTGATAGTATATTTTTTAATGAGAGAGACAACGAGAGGGGGGAGAGGGAGAGGGGGAGCGAGAGCAAGAGAGAGTACCGAGAGGGGAGGGTGATCCATAAACACATTTAAATGATAATTAATTAATTTATTTGGTCAAATAATTTAATTTCTTAAAATCTATTTATAAAATGAATTCGTTTTGAAGGGATGTTTATCAATTCAAGTCATTAAACAAATTTATAAAGTCATTAATTTTAAATATTTTAAAATAAAATGTCGTGTATCTATAAAATAATAATAGTAATAATAATAAAATGTGGTTAATTTAAATGAAATCATAAACAATATTAAATTAATAGAATTGAACAAATAAATAAATTTCGAGCGAGAGAGAGAACGAGAGACCGAACACCAAAAGCATGATAGATTTGAGCGAGAACCAAATAGATCGTTGAAATTTGGAATATGTGAAACTATATAACCCAAACGAAAAAAGAAGAACGAAGGGAGATGGTGGGAGATTGTAAAAGAGTAGAAGATATGGAAGAGAAACAAAAAGGTAAGAGATGATGGAGAGAGACACTGCAATGATTAAAAAATTAAAAGAGGAGTAGTGAATGTCATTTGTTATTCAGGGTGATGGTAGCAAATATTAGAAAACATTACTTCAAAAAAAGTGGGTAAAAATCAATACGGAGAAATACTTATTCAGTCTAAAAATCCATATTTGTTGGCCAAAGCGAACATAGCTCAGCGGTAATTGACATATACCTCCAACCAAAATTCAAATTTTATTTGAATGACAGTATTCGAATTTGAGCTATTAAATTTCATGTTTAAAAGTCTCTTGAATTAAATGTGACATGATTGTTTTCTAACCACTGTAAGAAAACTTGCCAGTCCTAATAAGCTTTTCACATAGCAATTTATTTATAGTCATGAAAGTTGAAGTCTAGGCATAAAATAAAAGTGTATAGGATTTTAAATTTGTATCTCTAATTTTCACCATCAATTTTTAGAATTGACAAATTATATACATTAAAAGTTGGGAGTCAAATTTTGTTCCAACACAATTGCGGATGCCTCACTTGCATGGTAAAATGCATTTTAACTATAAGGAACTTTTAGAAGGTCATTTCATTAACGAGTCTCCTTGTTTTTACAAGCTTCTGAAATTTTTTACTGTGACATAGATTGCAATCTTGATTGGTGAGTAACTTATTCCTTGTCGTGGGTCACTCACCGACGATCTAAATCGAGAAAGAGAGAGTTTGGGGGTGCTGGTTTTCACAAACAAAATGGGCAAAAAGGAAAAAAGAAGATCCTATTAAGAGAGAATGATTAGTGAGAAAATTACGTTGAGAAAAAGGTATAAATGTAAAATAATAAAATAACTAGATAAGGAATGAGAATGAGATCGCTAGTTTTTTGGGTAGTGATTCCCAAATTTGAGATAGGCGACATTGTTTATTCATATTATTTAATTTTTGTAAACACCCTGAGGAAATGAACATTTTTATTCCCATACGTTAGTTCTCCTGGGACCTTAATGGTGGTCAGTATAAGCTACGTTATCGAATGAGGATCAAAGAGTCTGTTTGGTTGGAAATTCGGATTCTGTTTTTTGATAAATATATTATTTCATATTATAAACTTATTTTATGTTTGTTAAAGTTAAAACATGTAAAATATAATTTATTCTAAATTATATAACCTTGTAAAATAATAATTATACAAAATTCATACAAAAAATGTTAATAAATTAATTAATATAAGTTTAGATTAAACTAAAATTTAGTTTGTAACTACTTTTATAAATATATTACTAAACATACGTTGAATAATTTTTTAAATTATATTCAATTATCAAATCAGCTACCAAACACAAATATGAAAAGATTAAAAACAAAGAATATAACTCTTATTTTTATTAAATCATTGTTTTCAAATTTATGTTTTCTGATTACCAATCAAACGGTCCAATTTTTTCCTGACAATTATATATTTGTAGTCTTTCATAATAAAATCACATCATTTATAAACTTATATAATGCGACAAATTACTAGTAATATAGATAAATAAATAAATAATAAAATTGTAAAATAATTAATTAAAAATTTTATGGTGTCATTAATAAACGATAGAAAAATGATAAAAACTGTAAATAATTATTGAAAAGTTGTAGAGCGCATGAAAGATTAAATGAAGAATGAGATTAGTTTTCTAGGAGGGTGATTTCCAAATTTCATCCCTGTCCATTCTCAATTTAAAGGTTTTTAGGTCAGTAACACTCAGTAAATCATTTTTGTACTTCCCCAAATTCTCACCCGTCTTCTCAAATTGAGCATAACTCGGCAATTGATATATATCTTTAAAAAAGAGGTTGTGAGTTCGATACATTACCCATATATTATATTAAAAAAAATCCCACTCTAAAAAAGACCATTGTTGATCCGTTCTTTTTCTTTCCTTTGCATGTCCATGAAGTTTTGAAAAATCCAAACATCTCATATCTCGATGGCCCAGCCCATAAGGGCCATGCGAACTTGACGTCATCCCCACCTTCCTCCAGTATATCACTGGCAGTCCCTCATATCCAACCAAGTCTTTGACCAGGGAACATGAGAATTCCCATTACCGCTGGCAGGCCAGTCGGGCCGTGACAGCGGTGTGGTAGGGTTTATAACAAGACCTAGGAGAGGAGTATCTGAAACATGTAGAGACTGTTCTAGAAGCTCTGCATGAGCACCAGCTTCAAGTCCATATGGATTTGTGGAATTTCAACCAGATTTGGAGGATGGAGGATGCTGATTTGAATTGGAAGCCTTAAAATCAGATCTATTCGGCTTTCGCAGGCAAAACTTCTATTTGTTTTTTGGTGCATATCTTCTTCGTTCGAAAATCGTCGGTTGGGTTGGTCCAACCAAGAAAGGCATGGGAGTATTTAATAGATAAATGATCCGACTTCAAATAGTAATACATATATCAATATACTAGTTGGTGGGCATACACATAAACCACATAAATTTGTTAATGTGGATATTGAGTAAATCAATGTTAAAGACTAAGTAGGGATTCTTAATTAATAATACCAACTAATTTTTTTTCCTTATCTATAGCACAAACGATGAAACAACTTGAATGGACCGGACATAACTCAACTAGATAATTGTGGATGTCTCATTTGCATGGTAGAAATTTAAACTATTAATGTCAAGAGAAGTAGTAAAGGCTGTTGAACCATATTTGATATTACTAGTAGCCATCTAAACCTTTTAAAATTATAATCACGATATTAAATTTCCGTCTATATGTCAATATTTACCTATGTTCATTTGTTATTAATTTAAATATTTATTATCAATTTTTATTTTTATAAATTTTATAGAAATAATAGAGATCCCATAGGCAAAATTTTAAAAACTAAGTTCCATTGTTGCCCTCGGAATTGGAACCAGAATCCATTCCATTTTGGTAATTTTGTCACGGAGTTCCCTCTGCCTCACGGCTCCAGCCACCAAAAAACTCAACCCAGAGACTCCGATTCGGCGTAACCTCGAGAGATACACAAAGATGGCGTCAGGGTGGGGAATCACCGGAAACAAGGGCCGATGCTACGATTTCTGGATTGATTTCAGCGATTGTATGTCCCGCTGCCGAGAACCCAAGGACTGTGCTCTACTCCGCGAAGATTACCTCGAGTGCCTCCACCATTCCAAGGAGGTGAGACCCCTTCCATTTTCCTTGATTTCTTCCTTCCATTTTGTTTATATTTCAACTTATATGAATTGCTTGAACAAGTATTGGATGTGTGGTTACCGATTCTTTTCAACTTTTGGCGTTCAATTCGACCTTCGCTCCACGGACGGTTGCGTGAGATTTGGTTTAGATCTGTTTTTCTACGTGGATTGTGGATTGACAACATTTCCGTAGGAATTTGAATTTGCGATTGATTTTAGGTGCTAGTGATCGATTAGGGAAAGGTTGGATCATATCTAAGGAAATAGAAGGTTTTGTGGCTGATGAGTTGTTTAATCAATGAGAATGGATGTTTTAGAGAAGCATGGTGGATCTCTCAGTCTCAGCCTCTTACATTTTAAGTTTCTTGTATGATGAGGGATAGGTTATCTTTATTTCTTGCAGTGAACCGCTTGCCACACATTGCGTGTTATGGATTATCACGATTGCGTCTTTGGTACTAGATTTGGTGAAAGTTATAGTCTGTTTAGGCATTTCTGTTCATACCCAATTACATGTTCTGGATATACTTCTTCTCCTTAAATATATGGATCTATGTACACTCACTCTAACAAAATTGAGTTTTGGTTTCTTAGTTTAGTGTAAAGAAGTTGTTTTATTAAAAAAGAAAATTGAGGAGAAGTGGTATTAGTTTTTGGTTAAATTGAATATATAGTGTATTTGTGCTTGATTATTAAAGTGGAACAGCATACTTTTACGTTGTTGAAGATATAACTTACCTGTGGAGATTTTAATTTGTCAAAATCCACTTAAATCACAAGGGATACTTTTCTAAGTTTAACACATATGATGAGTTAGATCGGTTTTTGGATAATGTGGTGGCTTTATGCATGTTTGTTAAAATGAAGAATAGAAGAATGTCTCTTCCTGATATGGGAGATATGTAACTCTAACTATGAACAATGAGAAAATACAAAAGTATGCTTTTATGTTGGTGGAGACAATCTAACTCTATGAGCATTTTTCAAAAGTAGCACTCTTAACAACATCAAGTTTTGCAAACTAGAGTGTTTCAGTATTATTCATCTTGGTGCTGAAATCATCCAACTCTATCTCATTTTCAAATGTTATTCTCTGATATTCTGTCTATTTTCCACTGTTATCTTTTTAGCTCTTGGGGGCACTTGGATCTCTTACCACTTTCTAATTTTCATTTTTTTTTGTTATATCCTGATAGATCCTTTCTTTTTCTGATTATGTTGGCACCATCTGTAGCTTACTTTTGTAAGTTCTTATGGCTTGGAAAGTTATCCCCTTGTGCACATAAGCGCCAATCCTTTTTTGCCACATTTTGTTTTATTGGAGGTGGGCGATATTATGGAATAAATGTTTCCTTGTTCGTTTTGCTTTTTTGGTTTAGGTGTTGGTACCTGGTACTCATTTAAATTTGTCTTCATTAGTTCCAAATGATCATGCCTTATGCATATGTGATATGATTTCTGAAAAGGACATGAAAATATGAATCAATTTTAATCCGTGAGAATATCATTTGCTTATCTTCCTTGTTGGTCATGTATTTCCTTGAATTTATATACTCTTTCTTTGTTTTGTTTTGTTTTTTTGTTTTTTTGTTTTTTTGCAATGGTTGAATTTATATACTCGCATTGCTCTATATCTCCAAGTGCTTGGTATCAACCTCGAAGTTGCCATACCTGACTCTCCTAACTGGCTCACTTTTTCCTTTTATTTTACTGCTCTGAGTGGTTCCTCTCTCTCAGTTTTACTTCCAGTTATCTTGGCAGTAGGTGGGCTCTGATAAAACTTCTAGCGCCAAATAACAAAAATCACGGTGCTAGGTTTTTGTAGGAATAAGGTTTTTTTTAGCATGATCACGACTCACTATGCATTCAGATGCACTTTGTCTGATTTCTTGTGGATATAGCTTTCTTGCGAGAGAAATGACCACCCTCAATCTGATTACTATTTTTGGCGTCACTTTATATTGGAATGTTTTATTCCTCCTGTGCATGTCGTTGAGTAGTGTGGTCTCTTCAACTGCTATTGCGTATTTAAAAGGATAAGTTTGTTATGCCACTTGCAAGCACAGTTTGAATGTTCATGTGGAAAAAGGTGGGTAGGTGGCAAGGTATAGTAGAATATTGTTGCTTAAACTCGAAGACTGCAGCAACTATGGAGCAAAATATTTAATGCTCATATAATTGCTCCTTAGATAATCCCAAAACACTATTGATTCAATGACTTGGTTTAATATGGTCCACGCTTGGCTAATTCATGCATAAATATTTGACATGGTTCAGTATGAGACGAGGAGTTTCTGATCTTGATGGTGGATTTGCTAAATTTGATAGTTTATTTACGCGACATCTACATTTTGACCTCTTTTATCATGCACATTTGTTCATAGGGAGGAAGCCACACTGTTACATCTGTTTAATATTTATTTATTTAATTCTGCATCTCTAAGTCCATAGTGGATTGGTTCACTAGTTAAGAGTGCAAGCGGCTACACTAGATATGCCTTTGAGGGCTCAGTCTTGGTTCCAAATTCAAATTATAGCCACCATTCGATGCATGCGAGGAAAAAAATTATTTAGGAAGTTAAAACTTTTTTTTTGCCCTTTCTTTGATTCTTTTCCATGTACTTTATATGCTGTTAGTTTGCTGTGCAATGGAGAGTGAGTCGAGCTGATACTCTATTTTATCCAATCGAGTACTAATATGTCTTTGGTGACGGCCGCACATATTGCTTAGATTATGTTCGTTTTATTATTCTTGCAGTTGTATATTTAACATAAAAATTAGTTATATGAATTTATGGAGCAAGATAAAAACAGTTTTTAACTTGTTTTGATTTTGAAATTTTCTAGAAAATAGTTGGATTCTAATATTTACTGAGAACTCATTTGAGTGAGGGATTCAATCACGATGTTTCTAAATCGAATTAGGAAGTTTGTTTGCATTTTGTTTATATCATTAATCGTTAACATCATTCACTTATACAAAATTTCCATTCTTTTTTTATATTGAGATAAAAATTTGGACCCGAATTGAAATTTCTAAGTTGCACCTATCTTGTCTGTTATTTATCTCTTTACCAAATACGATTATATTAGTGAGGAGTTTTATGGTGGCTCTTAAGGGTTACTATTTTTTTGGGGCTAGAAAGAGATTAACTCAGATTTCTAAAACAAACAAGAAATTTAATCAAAATGTTTAATTCATGACATAAGGATTAAGTATATCATTGTCAAAGAATAGGAACATTTGGACAAACGTCCAAAATGCAAGGAGTATATTAATAATTAGATAGTCTAAACTATTTTTAGCTGGGAAAACGTGTTCAAGTATGATCTGCCTTTATGACAAATAGTTCTGCCTACTTTATTCTAATTTGTTCTAATTCAAATTTGCCTGTTTGATCCATGACTTACAGTTCCAAAGAAGAAACCGAATTTATAAGGAGGAGCAGCGTAAACTAAGAGCAGCCGAACGGGAGGCCAAAGAGGGTAAACATGTCGATGCTGCTCATGCATAGTTATAATCATCTTTCAGAGATTGAATAATGAAGAATGCATGGACATGCCTTGTTATTTGAACAGTTTTTGACTTGTTAATGACATTCTATTCTGTCTTTCCTTAATCTGGTATGAAATTCACAAGTCATGCAACAAGGCCAATTCATTTTATTTTTCCTTGCTCCATCAGAAAGGCAGTATTATCTGCTTGACCATGTTATTGGCACTGAAATCTTATTTCCAAGTACTGGTTTCATCAATAAGCTCTTAGCACACTGCCATTTCTATTGATTTAGGACGCTCCCCCCGGCTCTACCCTATGCAGCAAATGTGCCTGGGGTAGGGTCATTAGAGTATTTGGATTGCCATCGACAGAGAAAGGAGGGGCTCGAACGGATGTCAGAAATGTTTTGGAAAGCCTCCAACTGGTATTTTACTTACCTCTATTACCAACTCTGAATATGTAGATGAAATCGGTGAATGGAAGTAGTAAAAGAATTAAGGAATTTGTGCATCAAATGCTAGATGTGTCGATTTTAGTTTCAATTCTTGGCATGCGTCTTGAGTTGTAACTCAATACCATCATACTTACGTGCATCATTAACCAATGAGATTGGAGAGCAGGGACTAATAGTAGGGATTGATGCATTTTAGGAAAAAAATTTGAAGTAGAAAAACTTTAGGTAAAAATAGTAGTTGGCGCAGTTATTGTGCGCTTAGACGAGTCAAAGAATTTCTAGTGCTTTATTTTGTGAAGAATCAAAATCATCTTTTGGTTCATAATCTGTTTTGGCCTTCATATAAAACAGATTTCATTGGTTCCAGAAATTGATGTACTCCATTGATTCAGTATTATTTACATTCTCATGTCATTTTCTTAACAAACTTACTCTTAGGTCCTAGGATTCTAACTTGATGGTTGGAGCTCTTTAGCCGATGCCACAACAATGTCTAAGTCTCTTCTTGTGGTGAATTTATCAAAATTTGAAGTTATAGATCAGATTAACTTCAACTTTTCAACCATAAATGTTGAAAATCCAGAAAAAATTAAATGCTTAAATCTTATTTTCGTTTCTACACTTTTAAAATGTGTATTTTGTTATTTGAATTTAGGTTTATTTTATTTTAGTTCTTAAAACTTTAAAATGCCCCTTTTATTTCCTAAACTAAATAAGTACCACAAGTGCGCTAACATGTGCATAGGTTGGTTGAAACGAGTATTGAGTAAACATGTTTATACCATCAAATGGTAACAAAGATAGATGTTTTTTGTTTTGGATGTTTAGAAATCAAAACAGTCCTTTCTTTTTAAAGTTTAGAACTTAAAATAAGAAAGTTTAGAACTTAAAATAGATATTTTGAAAGTTCGAATTTTTCTTTTTCAAAAGAGAGAAGATTATAACAAAGAAATATTTGACATGAAGGTATGTGTATAGATAGAGACCAAATTGGAAGATAAGATTGCAGCAATTTGAAAGGCTTGATCATCTTGAAAATGTGAAAGATGAAAGAGAGAATTGTGATGTTATCAAAAGATAAGATAGAGATTTAAAGGAAAAAAAGGTCACTGGGAGAGTTGTGAAGTGAAAGGGTTGCACTAGAAGGGCCATAGATTCCTTTCTTATCAGTGGGGGCTGAGTTTGTCCTTTACATAAATAGATAGATAGATAAGTTTC